CTCTGCACTCAATGCAAAAGATTTGTGTCCCTTTTAAGGAGGAGTGGTCTGAAGGCGTTGTGAACCTTAGGGTTTGCGCGAGCGTGCGTTATAAACAACGTTAAGAATTATTCTGTGGTTATAGCACTAAAGTGTCGTCGCATAAAATGAATATTTTCATTAGAATTGGCTGCTTCCTCCAGATAGATCAAACCGATATCTAGGATTTCAGTGGCTGTTAAACAGAGATCTTACTCTGAGGAGACAATAAGGAGCGGACTTCTGCTGATGGTTAAAACCGACTGTGTCACGTTGAGCAGAATGTTCGTAACGTGACATTTCGACTGGTCTAGTTTTAAAATGTCTTTCATCACCCATTCCTCAATAGATGTCAGGTCTTTCTGAGGCCTATTCAAATCCTCTCTGCATCTAATGGATCACCATATCTGTGCACTGTCTGCCTAGATCGATACTAACTTTGTCTAAAAGATTGTTAGTTATTTCCATAACTAATTGTAGTTATGTCATAACTCACCAATCAAATTGTGGTTTAAGCGCCCACAACGTAATCTGATCTGACGTGTCTGTAAACTACTAATTGAAGGGCATTACTATCTTATTATATTGATGTGACTCATAATTTTATTCATTCACATAAGAAACGCTATATTGGTCGGTATTTTTGATCGTTTCGCTTGGTAACTGTAATTTACTTATTTATTGTACTAATCAAATTGTTTTTATGTTTAGAAACAGATAAAGTTTAAAGCAAAATTAGTCTTGTTCTGACTATAGCTTTCCCATAGACTCTGTGCTCTCCAATATTGCGTCTGCAGTTCTAGAAGTTCATCCGCAGGAGAAATTAAATCTTACAAAGATCATTAACCGATGTAAGGAAGAGAAGCAGACTTAAGATGGTCCCCTGTGAATCTCCAGATGTTGGCTCTCGCCAACTCGAGTGCACTCTATTTACCCTGGAGCCACACTTTCTATTTTCAAGGTAGTTTCTGAGAGAAGAGAGAAGTTGGTCAGTGAAACCCATCTTCGCAACCATCGTAATTAATAATCCATGATGTACTGTGCCAAAGGCACTAGTATTTTTCAGTCATCACGGGATGTCCAAACGTCACATGCCATTAGAACGCACAACCTGCCTTTCCGAGATCCGTGTTCATCTGCGTGGGGTAGTTTGTGCTTATCCATGTAGTTCCTCATCTGTTCGTTCACCAGCCCTTCAATTACCTTCGATAGTTTTGGTAGTAATATGACTAGTCTGTAGCAGATTTGGTCCTCACAATTTCTTCCTTGATAGATTGGAGAGAAAGTTACATGTTTCTATTCAGTTTGGAGTTGTTATGACTAAAGTGAATGCCTAAACGGGTCACATATCGGTGAATTGAGGTCTTATGAACACTGTTTCAAAACTATGGGTTGAGTATTGTCACATCCCCGTAAACTTCCGAGACTTAAAGTGTTTTATTTTCTGAGTATTAGGTCTGAATTAGGTCGAATATTACCCAGTCTATCAAGTGTTTCTGTGTTTGGGCAGTACTCTCAATGTGTAGGTACATGTAATAAGTGATTGATAATGTTGAAAATCTCAGCGATTTCTAGGTTGCTAAGGTCTTCTTTATTTGGACCTACAAGAGCATAAACACCCTGGCTTGTAAGGCTAATTGGCATGATTACAATTAGATATTTTCCAGCTAGCCTCGTTTGGAAGTTTCCCTATCACTTCGAACTTTGGCATTGTAGTTTCTTAATGCTAGGTAAGAATCACGTTTATAATCCTTGAAAGAGACCTTCCACTTATATTAGGCTCTCATCTTCGCCTGTAACAACCATTCAGAGCCTCGCTTACCCCGAGTTCATTTTTTCCAGGTGTAGGCTGTCCCCGAGGTACATAGTTTTATGCAGCAATTTGGATGATGTAAATCATTGTTTTCCGCTGGTCATTAACCGTCAGCTTACACTGTTCCCGTTGCCATGGCATGTAATTTTCTCTAGCGTAGCAAAGGTTAGTCTCGTTTTCGTCCCGCCTGTGTGTTTCGTTCATAACATGTTAAAAAAGACTATGCCATGGTCACTTCTTCCTACTGGTGTACGGACGTGAACATCATCGACCAAGAGATGGTCGTTTGTTGACAAATGACTCAAGTTTCAGGATTATACAACATTGGTCCATTTAATGGCTTTGCATACATACTCAATCAGTCCGGAAATTATGATGGCTGAGCCAAGAAGCCACTGCAACTGACCAGTAGGAGTTGTACCCTGTTTACTGAGATTTAGAGATATATTATTGAAACCTTTACATAAGAGTATTTGATCAAACCGAATTAGTGGTGTTGCACTGTTGCCCCAGTCAGTTTATCTTTCTGTGCTTTAGTTTCTGAGGGGCCTGCCAAATCCTTTCAATCAAGTATTTGTGTGGAAGAAACACCAACGTTATTCTGTCTCCTAAGTTAGTTGTGTTTCGTGTGGTGTTTCGGCTTTCAAATGGCTGTTAATTTAAGTAGCCACTCCGCCTCTTATCTTGTGTACCCTATCTCATCGGAAGTGCCATGTTTCGCAAGAACACTTCGTCGTCTGCAACCCGGTTTACTCGACTGAAACACACCAGCTTAGTTATCGACTAAGAACTCATGATTACTGCCATGCCCAGATTCCTGCTCCAGGTTAGACGAGTAAGTACATCCTAAAGCTTCAGCGACTCATCTCGCTGTTCGGAAAGGACACAAAACTATTAACTGTAACTCATACTTGTCGCTCGTTGAAACAAGCAATTCAGCATGCAAATGTTATTTCTGCAGTAGTTGTTGGTGTTATACTGCAGCACCTAGAGAGTACGATAAATTTTTGTTAAGTCGCCCAGTTCATTTTTCTGCTATGTTCACCCACATTGGAGAGCAAACAAACTAACAATTATAACAAAAGGGAAGCAAAGAGTGCCATCAAAAACGAACACATCGATCCACGTTGGTGTGCTCAGTTCATCCTACAAAGAATCGACCGAGCAAGATATAATGCTACTCACAACCTGAGCTCATAACCAACGAAATCACCAGTTGTTGTAAGTACCCTGGTATCTGTTAACGTCATGGTGCAGTGAGGGAGCGTTAGGAAGCGAAACGGAAACACAACTGAACCAAACATTCTAAAAAGCAGAGACAGAAGCCTTAAACAAAATTCCTAAATATTACTAAATATTCCCGTGTCAGAAGGTAGATTTAAAGTAAGTAGGGTAATCCCTAATAAAAGAACAGTTGAAGCAATACTGCAAAATGCTTACAAAGAGTACGACTCCCTCGAAACTGAACTGCTGGTATAAGAGTCCAGATTTGGCCCATTAGGACCTCTATTTAAGTTAACGTTAGATCAGGCGCAGGTTGTAAAAAAAATCCCACTGACCACCACTAACCCATATTACCGAAATCAATGGTCATAGCCTGGTCAGTCGGACACACTAGACAAAAAACTCCTCTGCAACCAGTCCCCACAGATCTTCTTAACCTAGAGTTTGTTACTTGTTTAGAATTATACGTTACAATCGAAGAGTACCAGACGTTCGGACAAACCAACAAGTCTCTGTGGCAATGTAAATGAATTATGGGGTGTATTGGCTGAGATCAGAAGCACTTAATCTAATCTGGACATGAACATCACAATTCTGACTGAAACATGATTATTCCCGGACACCATAGATGAAAAATTGAATTTACAAGACAGGACACACTTCCCATGCAATAAGGTACACAAAAAAGGAGGTGGAAGAAAGATATACATAACAGCCATTTCAAACTTGTAACACAAGACAGATCGGAATTAGTTGAAGCGACAAAAGCATACTGGTGTTGTTTCAACACGAACAAACGGTAAGCTCATAGTCGAGGATTTCCGCATCCTTATGTCAACAGGAAGTAGTAACCATGTCCAAAGCGAGTTCAACATGGTCACATACGTAATACATTGAGAGAACGAGAAAGCGCTCTGTCTTATCTACACTAGGACAAATGACTCGACCATGATAAAGCATCTTCCAAGTATAACATGACCATGAGGGTGGTGGATACTAATAGTCGATGATCACTGACAGATAATGAAGGAAAGCATTCGAAATGCTATCCGACTACATATGACTCAAGTAAAGCACACCCCTGATAAAGGACGATCCACAGTTAGGCGAGGCGCAGGATGCTCGATGTAGTCGAAAATCAAAGCCTGGCAGAAGTGTAGCCCCTATTCGCGTTAGGAAACAGATGAGATACTAAAGTCCGAAGCAAAAGAAGCTATTTCCCAGGTCAAACAGTCAGCCAAAATACGAGCAAGTGGCTCATAGTGACTAACAATATATTAAGCACTTCAAGTCACCCGAACACAAATGTCCGACCATTACATCGCCAACATATCTTGCAGTTAATCCTCCGAAACTATCACGCTCCTATTTACATCCGTTCCCACTTAGAGTATTTCCCAAACGAAGTAACTACAATAACCTCAGTGAATGCCTACAAGAATGAACATGACAATCAAGTATTCACATTCGGATTATCATATCGAGTTTTGACCAGCGCAGCATGGTGTATGTCTTGAAACGTGTTTGCTATGACCACTATCTCATATAATTAACTAATTCCATGTTGCTTATAAATATCTACGTCTACCGTTTATTTCTTACAGTTCAGTGTTCTTACTCTCTTCACTAACAATTAATTCACTTATTTATTCACTTAGTTTCTGGAACATTCATCATCTCTTTAGCACTGGATTTCCTATTTATTGTTCTTCATACTGCGGCCTGCTGATCCCCGGCTTGTTACTGAGATAGTTGCCGTTAAACAAACGCACTCACTCAAACTACAGACATACGAATAATAATTGCTGTGTCGACTAGAAGTTGTGCAGTTCAGTAACTATTCTACCAAATACATTTAGTCGTACGAAAAAAACTAGAAGCAAACTCAAAGAAACAAATCGTTTTATCCTAGCTCGTGAAAATCATATTGGAAATATTGGGTAAGCGGCTGGTTGACTACTACGCTATTTTAAAATGCGCATAATTTGATTTTGTTTACTATGCTAGTAGGTTACTCGCAGTTTATATACTTTGTCTTCTTGTGTCTTGCACACATTTGTGGGGGCGAAAAAAATTCATCGATAGTTTTTGCTGTCAAGAATTGTGTCGTATCTGAAAATGCTTCATTTCTCGGTGGAATTATTGGGCATTTGTAAGATAATTTTGTTTTGAATATTTTTCAAGATTTTCCGATGAGTCTGACGATAAGGTGGACTATTACTTCAGCGTTTGTGGTTTTAAAACAGAAGAAAATTCCTCAGTATCATTAAATCAGTCTATTATTGCTGTCAGTGACAGCAGTGTTGAAGAATTAGGATCGTTTACTAATTTTTCCGTTTCTAATAAAGGTATTTTCAAATGATAATACCTATTGATAGGTGATCGACACCTTGTAAGGTTCAACAATTCAGACAGTATAACGGACTTAATACTTGGGTGCGGTAGCATGGTAAGTTCAAGCACCAGAATCCTAACTGATAACAGGCAGCCTTCCACCTAATCAGCCATGAAAATGATAAATCCTATAGTTTTGATTTATTTCATCCCAGTCTTTGTTCGACTCGTCATTCCGTGAAGTATGCTTTCATGGTCATTCTTCTTTGGTACGTTTATTATTTTTGCTCATTTACAAGTTGTAAAAGCAATTCAATCCGAACACCCTTGAAACATTTTAGCGAAGTTATGAACTTAACCCATGTATAACTTTATTAGTGCCACACTTCATCCTTTTTGGAAAGTATACATGAGAGCTCATTGCATATTCTGAATATAAAATGTGAAAACTCTAAACCATCATTTCTGATCAATTGTAATTAGTTTTGCCCACTGATCACCTTGTACTGTACTATATCAGGGAAAGGTTTAACTCTGATAAAAGAATGTGTTTATCCTTATTTGAACAAATGTGTCCGTGTACCTGATCTTATCTGATAATTGGGAAAAACGCAAATATGTATTGTCGTAATATTTTTTTTACTTGATAGTAGGCTCACGTTTCATTATGAATGTTATAGACGTTCACTAAAACCCCTAATACATATGCTATGATACCATCAATACGAATTTGCAAAGTCAATTGCCCCAGATTACCATGATATCTTATAATCCTGATACTTGATCCGAAGGTGGGAAGCCAGTAGTTTAACCTGAAGACTTATTAGGCGGTGAAGTTTGGATTACTAACAAGTCTAAAAACGTCTCTAGATGTACAGGCGGAAACGAAATACAGACCAACAAAAAAGTCAATAATCCCCTCGATTCGAGGAAAATTAAGAGACCATTTAAGGATTACGTTTACGGTCGATGTGTACGTGAAATCAGTCTTCTGTACGGTTTGCAGTGATGCCTAAAAGAATAATGACTTTCACTAACGGAATGTCAATAGGAATTGTTTTGTTTAATGAGCATAGAAAGGTGTGCTAGGAAATATTCACATTGTCTAATCACTTGTATGTAGACATCACACAATTTGTTATGTATATTCTCTCAATTTACAATCAATAATAATTTCCCTATTCGCGATAGTTTTAAAAATATCCTTTGCTTATGAATATTATACTCCAGTCGTGTTATGTTCGTGCTATGTATTTTCTTAATTTTAGCTTCATATCTTTTATTATTGGTTATTGTGTGCTAAGTTGCTTAATAAAGAAATGCCTATATGGACGATCATGGTACCAGTCTATTCCACTTATCAGTGGATTTGAAAATATCAAAAATCGATTTCAGGTAAACAAACATAAGGTGTCTCTTAAATCCCTAGTACTAACACGTTTTACCTATTTTTATATGAAACTTGTTTCATTTAGTGACATATTAACTTGTCACTAACAGTAGTTTTGTATACAAAGCATGAGTAGTCGAAATTATGGTATTTGTCAAATAAATTCAGCTCAATAAGTACTTCTAGGTCCGTGTAATCAGATTTTACAGATATTGGCCATATTAGGTACTCTGTTTGTTCATTATTTCATAGCCGATAAATGCTTTTAAAAATAAGAAATCATTAATCTTTGTAATAAATGTAGCGAAACAGCATTTGTGTTATTAAATGAATTGATAATACTACCCGACCGTAGTTGCTACCTTGACGTGGTGGTCAGGCTTACCTATCGTGATGACTCAACCGAGCTATATTAGTTGTAACATATTTTCCTTTAGGTCCTCCCATGCCAGGCAGGTCGATTGGAGAAAGTTAAGACTAAAAGCAGCTACTTAAGGTCCGAAGGCGAAGTCGTACTGCTGACTGTAGGTGGGTGTGACAGCAGTAACGTGTTTTCCTCGGACAACCAGCATCTATCTCCAGTGGTAAGGTCTTTTGGAGAGCGTGACTAAAACTTTAAAAACTTCCCGCAAGTGGTTATCCCTTAGGCTCTGTGGTCACGCTCCCAGCTCGCTAAGACCAACGTTAATCCAACTTCTTTTAAAAGTTCCTCAAAAAACACCTCCCCTCCCTGTGGGCAGCCTGCGAGTGATATAAGCTCTCATAACCGTGAAAGCACACGAGATTAACTTAAAATCGAATATTTCTTCCACTTCCTAATAGCTGCTTGTCTCCACGATTAACTCTCCTCACATCCTTTTATCACCTTGCACCGCTGGTAAAAACGAGTACGAGTGAAAACCAGTACACAAAATGTTATTCTTGGTCTTTTGAAACCCCTCTCCAAACTACATGTTGGAGCTCTTAATGTTTGGACCTTGTGCCAAATAGGACAACAAGTTTCCCTCTAGGATCTCGTGCCATCGATATATGCTGCGTTTCCGAAACGCGCATACAGGATTCTAGTGGAGCCATTCATTTGATCTCACCTTATCGAGATAAAGAAGTTTTGTAACTTACGTTTCGTGTATCTAGAAGTCTCACTGTTGCTTCCTGTGGCCTTGCTGGTGCAGGTACAGCATTAAGTTCTACAGCAGAATTAGCTCTCTGAAACTGGGTCCCAGTAGATAATCCTTTATGCGTTGGCCGACTGAGTCCGACATTAAGAACTCAGAAAGATAGTGTCACTCGTCGTTGTCTCTGCCTACGCTCCCACCAACTGCAGCTCAGATGAGGTAAAAGATGAATTTTACGGAAAGCTTTCCAACCTCTTTCAAAAAGCTAAGCACTGACCTATAAATACTGGCTGTTAACTTGAATGTTCAAGTAGGTAGACTAAGCAAAACTGAAAGACACTTGGGTGGATCTTATAGTGTTACGGCTCAAAAAACAGATAATAGCAACTGTCTGCTGCAATCGTACTCAGATAACTGCATATTTCTGACATATATAAAATATGAACTTATGGAACATCTAACGTGGCGACCCCCGTCGCCCCCCGAAAATTGGCTCAGCGCTGGAACAAACTACAGACAGACAGACAAATACAACGCAGTTCAGGTTGCCATACCACGTCAGCACAGAGACGTAACTGTCAGTTCAAATCCAAGAGTGATAGCGATAGTAGAATTATTAGCAGCGATGGAGAAGATTAGGGTACGAAGATATGATTTGAAAAGTATAATTCAGTGAGATAAATTTATGAAGAGAAAGATAGAGATTATGAGGAATTCAGAAGGTTAGAGTTTGAGAGAACACAAAGAGTGGATGCACCTGCGCCATTGCAAACGATTCTGAGCCATATCGCTCAAGGTCGCTAACCATCGGTGACTATCGTCTCGCGGACCCCAACCAGATAGCCTACATCTACCAACATGACTCAGTTCACTTGTCAGTGACTTCATGGATTTCAGCCATGTTTCGGTCTGGCCGCCCCTAGCTTTCGTCCAACCTACTCCTACACCACAAAACAAAGCCCTTCGCGGCAGTCGGTGGTTCGGCATACGTAACTCATGTCCCAACCACCTCAACTGATGAGGTTTTAATGCTTCATCTATTGATTTGTCGTCCTTACCTAGAACTCCTTTCCTAGCGACAGCATCGCTTATACAGTTGTCCCATGATCATTAGAAAACTGCCACTCGTCCTGGAGCACATATTTAGATTCAAATCATGTTCTAGTACGAGCACATATTTGTCTGAGTCTTACTGGACATAAGAAATAAAACGCCTTAGAGTCCTATTACCGATAATAAAGCCAATAGTTTATTTCAAGATCAATCAGAAAAACAGTTAGACAGCCATGTAAGTGATACTCATCCCGAGATACGATGGAATGATATCTAAAAATCGATAGGAATTGCAGTGATATCTGCTAGTAATGTAAACCGAACGGCCGGGGAAAATCAATGGGTTTTAGTGGCATCTCTACTAAACTGATAGATGCTCGGCAACTTCTCCTATTCAATATAAATAAAATTTTAACGTGGTAATATCGTAGAATGTCCAGTTTATGCAACTATTATTATTATTATTATCATTACATCTTTCTTCCTTTTTTTATCTAGGACTACATTGTTCTGCATTATCATCGTCCACAAACTCGTCTCCTTGAACCAGTGTATATGCCTGTACCAAATGATTCACCGGAACAATTTAAAACTGCTAAAAACAATCAATCTAATTGTGAAAATTCACTAGAACAAAAACAATCTTTATTATCCTATACAGATGAAGAACAACAACAACAAGAAGATGATGTTTTATTAGCTTTATGACCACCCCACCCCACAATGAACTATACCAATCGATAACTTCAGATATATATATATATATATATTATATAAATAAATAAATTTGAATTGAATATTTTATTTAGATAAACTTGATTGAATTATGATATTTATCTTTTTTTGTTTTAATTTGTTCAATTGTTTATTCCATCATCATCATCATCATCATCCTTAACACAAAGATCACATACACTGTTCATTTGTATTATTCCGGTGTTTTTTGGGTTATTTTAATAAATATCATTGTTCATTATTAAACTATGCATTGTGTGTGTGTGTGTTTGGTTAATATTTGATCAAATGTTCAGCAGCTTACTTACTTACTTACTTACACATTCCCTTTGAGTTTTCTTGCTTTAAAATGTTTACTTGACATCTTACTTGCTCTCTATGACTCTGCTAATCTTATTTACTTCATATTTCATTGATTTCTGTTTGTTTTTTTTTATTTATGACTTTGCTTTACATTGTTTCTTATGTGAATAAAATGTAAGGAATGATTGAATTGCAAAATTCTACAATGTGTTTTTGTTTTCTTTTTCTGCTTTTTTAATGTGCTTTCAGCTTGAAAAAAACAAACAATACTTATTTTTTTTTTTAGTAATCAAAGCATTCAATTTTCAATTGGTAGATTTCAGGTTCAACGTACACGAAGGAAAAAGCAAGATTCTTCGATGCAACACAACATGCATTAACCAAATCACTGGTGATGGAGATGCCTTGGAGGACGTTAACACCTTTACATATCTAGGCAGCAGCATCGACGAGAAAGGTGGATCCGATGCAGATGTGAGGGCGTAGCGCGGATCGGCAAAGTAAGGGCTGCATTTCTACAGTTGAAAAATATCTGGAACTCCAAATAACTTTCAAACAAAACCAAGATCAGGATTTTCAATACAAATGTCAAGACAGTTCTACTGTATGGAGCGGAAACATGGAGAACTACCAAAGCCATCATCCTCAAGATACAAGTGTTTATTAACAGTTGTTTACGCAAAATACTTCGTATTCGTTGGCCAGACACTAACAGCAACAACGTACTGTGGGAGAAAACAAATCAGATTCCACTGGAGGAGGAAATCAGGAAGAGGCGGTGGAAGTGGATAGGACACTCAATGTCAAAGGAAAGGAGGAGGGCCAAGGAACAAATTATGCGGAGAAATAGAGAAAGATATGAGAGGAATGAACAAAAATTGGACGGAACTGGAAAGAGAAGCCCAGGACAGAGTTGGTTGGAGGAAACTGGTGGGCGGCCTATGCTCCATTGAGGATAACAGTCGTAAGTATGTAAAGTAAGGTTCAAATCGTAAACTACTTACTTCTATATGCGTAATTGAGTAGTATCATCATTATCATCACAGTGTGATTTAGAGCTGATTTCGTGAATACCAGTACTAGGTAAATAAGTTAAGTTAATTTCAGCAATTGATTCCATCAAGTCATTTAGTGCCAATAATCTTAACCTTCACACTTTCATATGTTAAACATTTATGTTTCATACTTCTAAAATCATTTTCTAGTTAATTTATTTGAAAGTAAATCAATTTTCATCCTGTTAGTGATTAGCTGGACCGAAAAAGAACTTGTCGGCTATGTTGTATCTGTATTTCTCTCACTAATGCATTCTACATCAGCTCGGTAATTTAAAGACAAAACAGCGTAAATAAGCATAAACAAAGCTGCACAAATATATGCACTGACATGTACAGTGTGTTAAGGATAACACTAATTATGAGGTGATTTAGCAACTGTTACGTCAGATATTGAATCCTACTCTTTCTGATAAAGGAGACAGACAGACAGATTCAACTTAAACTTTGTACATACGTACATCAGTTCAGGTTGCCATACCGCATTAGCACAGAGACGCAATTGTCAATTAAAATCCAATAGTGGTAGCGATAGTAGAAGTATTAGCAGTAATGGAGAAGATTATGGTTCCAAGGTATGATTCGAGAAGTATAATTCAGTGAGATAAATTTAGAAAGATAAAGATAGAGATGATGAGGAATTCAGAAGGTTAAAATTTGAGAGAACATAAAGAGTGGATGCACTTGCGCCATTGCAAACGATTTTAAGCCTTGTCATTCAGCGTCTCTAACCATTGGTGACTTACGTTTCGCGAATACCAATCAGGTAGCCTACATCTACCAACATGACTCAGTCCACTTGTCAGTGCTGATAAAGGAGAAGTGATTTAATAACTAATTCGCAAGTAGTAACCATAATAGTTAAGGTTATACTTGCGTTCTCTTAGGGGAACACTGACTTTATAGTTTTCTAACCCTGTGGATTGCAGGTTCCGATCTCTCTTCATCTACTTCAAGTTGTACATTTACGTAGTACTCTTAGCTCTCAAGCACCTCAAAGCCTATCTCACATGATTCTTTATTTAGTTTTCAAATAGAATCAGATCATATAAGTAGTAATCATTAATTCAATAAGCTAAAAATAGGATTATTTTGTTACACTGAATTTTTTTGAGTGTTAAGAACATTCACTTGCAGTATACTTTTCAAAGAAAAAAAATCTTTTGAACTAAATGTTGACCTTAGTTAAAGTAGTACATATTCAAATCGATTAACTATTGATAGATTAGTTGTAAACAACAAGATCAAATAAGCTTAAGTTGTCTAGTTACTAACTACATTGAAACCTAACGTCTGCTTTATTCTTCACAATCAGATGAGATATTGCATGTAAGAAGTTGTTTTTCGTTTACTACAAATACTACTGAAAACTTAATTATTGGCTGTATTTCATGAGTACTTTATAGATTTGTAATGAATTGATGTTCTTAAAAGATGGTTGAAACAATTATGTATTGTCGTAATATATTTTTTACTTGATAGTAGGCTCCCGTTTCATTATGAATGTTATAGGCGTTCACTAAAACCCCTAATACATACGCTATGATACCATCAATACGAATTTCCAAAGTCGATCGCCTCAGATTATCATGATATTTTATAATCCTGATACGTGACCGGACGGTGTGAAGCTGGTAGTTTAACGTGAAGACTTATTAGGCGGCGAAGATTGGATTACTAACAAGTCTTAAAACTTTTCTAGATGTACAGGCGGAAACGAAATACAGACCAACAAAAAAGTCAATAATCCCCTCGATTCCAGGCAAGTTAACAGACCATTTAAGGATTACGTTTACTGTCCATGTGTAAGTGAAATCAGTCTTCTGTACTGTTTGAAGTGATGCCTAAAAGAATACTGACTTTCACTAACGGAATGTCAATAAGAATTGTTTTGTTTAATGAGCATAGACAGCTGTGCTAGGAAATATTCACATTGTGTAATCACCTGTATGTAGACATACCACAGTTTTTTATGTTTATTCTCTCAAATTATGTGCTTCTTACAGGAAATTATTAAATAGTTCCATCATACATCAGTAGTTGGTAGAATTTAACTCAATATCACAAAGTGTAAGTTGTAACTTTTGTGTAAACATGCAACACACACAAAGTCAGATTTCTTTTTGAACTAATCTCTACCCTCCTTTTCAGGTCCCTCAAGAAACAACCTCCCACGGTGTGGGCAGCCGGGAACTGACAACCGCCCTCATACCCGTAACAGCAGACGAGACCAAATTGGTCAAAATCAAATCTCTTCTTTAAAACGGTATTACTTTCCTTCCTAATGACAGCACTTCATCGGATACAAACTATTTACAAAACTCTTGTAGAAATAAGCTTTTAGTCGTCTTTGTGTTCCTCACATTTTAAGTGAAATATTATTCGATTAACTTTGGGCATATAACCTACTAATTTGTATATATTCGTGTTTAGATAGTCGAAATTATCAATTCAACTCAAATAATTTATTTGATTTTACCCTGATCTAATTAATTGCCTAACATATTTGGCATACATAGTCTTATTCTAATAATAATAATAATAATAATTTATACTGGTAGCTTAAATGTATGGAAAAAAGTGGGCTTTTCCCATGGTCACTAGATTATTAGTTCTTCGATTATTGGTTCCTATTACAAAATAAAACACACATGATTTGATCCTAGAAATCGTTCATATAGTAGCAGTAATTGTTGTCATATTATTATTCGTTATTACTGTTTAGCGGGAACTATTCACTCAATAGAAAGTACAACTTAATATATTCGATTATTCTGAATGGAGTTGATATTCTTCACTGTGTACGACAGTCAGGTGAAAACTATTTTCTCATCATTTGATAAAGGAAATGGTCATAGTAGCAGATATCATCATCATCATCATCATCATCAACGTAGAACTTTGCAAGTAAGTACATCAGTTCATGTCGCCATACCACATAAGCACAGAGATGCAACTGTCAATTAAAATCCCATCGTAGTAGACGTAGTAAAAGTATTAGAAGTAATTGGAGAGATTAGAGTTCGAAGATGTTATTCAAGAAGTATGATTCAGTGAGATAGGTTTAGGAAGTCAAAAGTAGAGGTGATGACGGATCCAGAAGATTAGGATTTGAGAGAACGCAAAGAGTAAATGCACCTGCACCATTGTAAACGATTTTGAGCCATGTCATTCAGGGTCTCTTATCATCGATTATTATCATCTCGCGGACCCCAACCACGTAGCGTACATCTACAAACATGACTCAGTCCACTTGTCAGTAACTTTATAGATTTCTGCCATGTTTTGGTCTGGCCACCCCTAACTTTCTTCCAACCTACTCCTACACCACAAAACAAAGCTCGTCAAGACAGTCGGTGGTTGGGCATACGTAACACATGTCTCAACCACCTCAACTGATGAAGTCGCATTACTTTATCTACTGACCTGCCATTCTTTCCTAGCACCCGTTTTCTGACAACAGCATTGCATAGTAGTAGATAATTATCTTGTCTACTTAACAGGTATTTCGCTTATATTGCCTGTCTAACGGTCATCGATGAAAAACGATTGATATCTGTCTGTCGTTGAGTCCATTCCATCCTAGAAAGCATATAAGATATGTGTGGTGCTGAAGTTCAAGTACATAATTTAACTCATACGATAATATGGAGTAATTTCTCGACTAGCAAAAAGAGCATATTACAATCAGGAGGACATTACAATAAGCTGATTACTACACCATAAATAGAAACGAATTGACATAGTAGATCCGTAATTATTAAAAAATAACATGAGGAAAGTAAAGCATTCAACAATAGTTTTTGCATCGAAACCTATCTTGTGTCTTGTTTCTAATGCGCATAGTGCTACTAGTGATCGGTTTTTAAACTTATTGAGTTCAACTGAAGATGTAGGGACATGTTCCAAAGAATACTCATGTTCCTTCACCCTGGCATCTAACACCTGATTTAATAAATTCATACTTGTTGTTTCTTTCTTGACATTTTATCTTTAACGCCGATTTAATACTTTCAATAACTCGAAAATAAACATTCATATTTATTTAGAATCCTTTTTATTTCTTCCAATGTTTCTTTACTTTATGTGACAAACACTATGTTATTCCATTCTGTCGATGTTAATTCTGACTTATTTTTTTTACTTTCATCCTTGAAAATCCTTTTTAGAAACCCTTGTATGGTAGTCATTTATCCTAAATTAACT